AGAATTTCTATTTGATCAACAATGGATTTGGCCATTAAGATGTGCAAGGCCTGAGAACAGATATAAAGATGGTCAAGGCTTGAGTTCTTCCCTTTGAAGAACAACAGTCATGCTGCCATAGAAATAATCAAGATACTGAGTATGCAAAGGTCTACAACAAATGGGCTGAAAAAATAAAATGGGGTTACAGAAAAATAAGAAATTATTTGGGTTCAGTTTTATGCAGAAATAAATATAAAAAGTTTTATACAGAAATAAATAGCTGGGTTCAGTTTTATATAAGTAAATTATATACACACAGAGATGAGTGTTAGGGTATTGATGGAGTGGTTTTACAAGTCATATGTAAAGTACATACAGAAGTAAAATAGGAAACCCATAGGGTAATGGAAACACCCTTTCAAAAGGAGGACAGGAGAATACGGGCTTGGAATGCATACTCAAAGTTAGAACTTCATCCTATAGACTAGAGATGGGAGGTTTTTCAATCCTTACTTTGCAGCAGAATCACAGAAACTGCTAACATTGCAATGGTCTCAGCAGAGTTCCCCTAACCTTCATGAGGAGTGAGGTGTGAGTGACCTACACATATTATTTGTGTGAATCTGAATACTTCCAAGACCTAATTTGGAACTGGAAGACTCAGAGTTTCTCTATACTTGAAGGCTGAGTGATCACTGGAGGGCTAAGTGGTGACATGGACATTCAGGGTGAAGGCAGAGTGGAAACTGACTATAGGCTGTGGATGTCTAGATGGTGGCTGTACCTGCCTCAGTTAAAGATAGGTAATGTATCAGACAAGGCTTTCAGGGTACCTGGAGGGTAGTTCTCACCTCATACCTTTCCTGATTCAATATCTTCAGAAGGTCCTAAGCCCCACTCCAAACTGTACCCATTACCTCATCCCAGAACTCACTATGGGAACACATGATATGTCTATATATCTTTCACCTGGGGCACAGGCAGATAAGGAGATGCTAAAACATCTGATTACACTGGTTCCCTGAGGTACAGGCTATAATTCCTTTCTCCTGTCTGACCCATCCTCACTTGACTAGAAGCTCAATTTAGTGTCTGTGTCTTTCTAATATCCTGGATGTCCTTGTTGGTTATCCAATTTACTTTATTTGATGGAATCGAGACAAGGTCTGACTCTGTAGCCCAAGTCAACCTTGAATTCATGGTGATCTTTCTGCTAAAGCCTCCTGAGGGTTATTGAACTTTAAAACAGGAGATGAAGAAGGAGAAAGAGGAGGCAGCAGATGAGGAAGAGAAAGGAAAGAAGGAAGAGGGCATAGAGAAGGAAGGAAGGAAGAAGAGTTAGAGAGGTAAAGGAGGTGGTGGAGGAAGGCATAGAGGAGAAATGATCTAGGAAGGTATGGCTCATCTGTTCCAAGGGATGACAGAGCACCCTCCTGACTTATGATGCTTGGTAGAATCTTTTCATGCACTTGCGGCGGGGGGGCTTGTCATGCATATGGTGGAGCCTTGTCATGCACACTGTAGAGCCGTGTTAAGCACCTGGTGGCTGGTGGCCCCTTAGTCTGGTCCAAGTATTGTTCTTTAATCTGAATTTTACACTAGAACCACTAGTCCAGAGTTTGATGATGGTGTGGCTTCTAGATCTCTGTTAACAAGTTCCAGAATGGATCTACTACATGAATAGGTCAACTCTCACTCCCAACAGCAGTGGTGGGCATGGGGAGCAGTAGGCTGAGATAGATCACCAATATTTTCAGCTTGCTATGGGTTGACTTGTGTCTTCTGGACAGAGATATTGAAGTCCTGATATCTGGTCCCTGTCAATATGATCCTATTTAGGTTTAGGATCTTTAAATATAATCAGAATGCTTTCATTAATACCAGCTCATGGCTAGTATAGATGGGGTCCTTATAAGATGGGGGTGGAGTCAGGAGGAGGAGAACAAGCAGAGATTGAAGTGGTGTGGTAATGAACCAGGGATTGCTGGTAGTCACCAGGAACCAAGGTGTGTAGGGAAGACTCCTGCCGATGGTTTTAGAAGAAAGGTATTGTCCGCAACACTCTGACTTTGGATGTGGAGCCTCTAGACTTGTTTGTCCCTCATTCCCACTAATTTGCTATGGCAATTCCAGAAGACTCACAAATAGCCTGGGTGCTCACTTGCGGACTTGGCTCTCACTGACCTGGGCAATCAGTGAGGGCCAAACTGCCTGAGAGCCAGCTCCTGCACTGGGGCTGTCCTCCACAGCACAGATGCCTCTTCATAAACCATGGATCCCCACACAGAGTGCCCGTCCTGGTCACCTTGCTGCAAAACCCTGAGGTCCTCATGCACACGGGGCTTTGATGACCTGCTTTGTAAAGGACATAAACAGCCGGTATTCATTTACTGCAGGGTGCAATTGTTGACTCTATAACAAGGCTGTTTCCAGCAGCAAAAGGGAAAGGCTTTCAGGTCCCTTCTTTCCCTTTCCCCTCATGACGACAATTATTTGGTTTTGGAAATAATTTTGGAAGTATTTTAAGGTATTTGCTTTAATCTACCATGGTGAAAATTATTCAGCAAACCCCATAGGAGGCTTCGTCTCAACAAGTAACATTTTCCAAATAGGAGATTACTACAGCAGTGAGTTGCCAAAGACACAGCTGAAAAAATGGGTCATGCATTCATGACATCTTGGGACAGGAGCTGCCAAGCTCTTTGCTGTTCCCTTTTGTCCTTTTCTCGTAAACAAGCTACATTAACGAGTTACTTTTAAAAACACATTCTGATTTCCTCAGGGAGTTACATGGGAAAGAATTCAGGGTTCCCTCTAGAGGACCCAGATGATTGTTTGTTCTCAGAGATCAGGTGCGCTAAAGGATCTGGAGGCTAAAAAACACACTCTGAGTATAGGCCAGCGGATCCTGAGCGCCCCTTCCCCCCACCCCAGCCAGGCTAAAGACACTCAGTGGGTACTGGGCAGCGGATCCTGAGCACCCCGCCCTCCCAGCCTTGGTTTCTCCTGTTGGTGCAGAAATCTCTCTCTGCCACTGCAGGGGAAAGAAAGGGTGAGAGGAAAGGCTCGATTTTCAATTTCAGTTTAATTACACAATTTATAGTGCCCAGTAGGAAGGATTTAGGTGCAAGATTAATGCTCAACAACATTCCATTTTGCATCGCCGTCTGATAAAGAATACTGTATTGATTATCCAAAGTGAGTTTTCAAAAGTGTTTCTCTTGAGGCTCGTGGAATAGTGCTTGCCACCAAGTCTGACACCTGAGTTGGATCCCTGGAAGGCACGTTGTAGGAGAGGACTGTCTCCCACAAGCTCAACATGCATACTGGGACACATCTCCCTACCAATGAAAGTAAATCCTCTTCAAGAGTCAAATTGCTTTGGTAGCAGACTGATTTCAAAAAGAGGAAGACAGAAGGATTACCACGAGTTCGAAGACAGCCTGGGACACATTAGTGAGTTCCATGCCAGTTTGGGTTGTACAATAAAATCTTGTTTCAGAAAAAAGAAACAAAGCATAAGAAAAGAGAAAAAAGCAAACAAGGTGGCTTAGTTTTGCTTCTCGAAATTGGATAAATAAAAGTTGTTAGATGACTCTTTGAATTGTGTTTTTGAGAGTGGGAAACACGTCCTTCATTGGAAGAACGATGAATAGAAATTCCAATGGGGTATTAGAAATGTGAGCTGTTATATGGAGATTGCACAAGGCGACTCTGTTCTGAGAAGGGCTGTGTGAGAAATGCATTAAGGCATTCTCCCTCATGTTAAAGTTCAAAGACTTTAAATTGCTTCTTGAGACTGGCATCAGATCCGTGTTTAAGATAATGAGTAAATATTTGGTGTTCACATATTCTATTAGTTTAGCCAAATGAACAAAGGAGCAACATACAGGAAACAAAAATTCTCCTGTAAGGACTTGCCTCAGTGCAGCTGGAGATAAGCGTATTAAGTGAATTAAGCCCATTGCAGAAAGGCAATACCACACTTTCTTTCTATTTGTGGTTTCTAGATTTTATGTAGATACATAAAATCACACATGTGTGACTATATATATATATGTGTGTGTGTATGCATATTATATATACACAGTCACATATTTATGATTATATATGTATACACACACACACATGCACACACACACACACCACACAAGAAGTACACACAAAGGGACTAATGGGAGGGAGAAGGAATGAGAAAGAGGAGGCTGGGTTGTGAGCAGAGTAGTCTCAACAAGCAAAATACATATGTATGGTGGAAACTTCTCAATGAAAACTCGATTTTTGGGAGGGGTGGTTGTTTATTTCTTTACTATTTTAACCCATTATATCAATGGGGGAAAGTGGATATCTTTATGAGAAAAGCATTCTGTCTGTAGTAAATGTATAAACATAGCAACAATAAACTCTCAGGTCTTAACTATGACTCTGCCTTGTAAAACCACTTGAGTTCATTCAAAGAATGTAAAGAGACAGAGCTAAGAAGGTAAACGAACCTAGTGAGAGACCAGATGGCTTTGTCATTACACAATCATGGTATTCTCAAATACCATGTAGGCTGCTTGACTCTTGTAACACAACCTTTAAAATGGTGTCCAAGATTGAGTGGGTGACGGAAGGGATTGGGAAACTTTTGGCCATAATCCAAAAATGGGAAAATTACATTTTTTTTGTCTTCTGAGATACACTCCCTCCCCTTCCCCCTACCAAATTTCATGATGAGATCTCTTCTTTTTCTTCATATACCTACATTTTCCCCCATTGTCTTTTAAACTGAAAATTTCTAGCCATGTTCAGTATCCTAGACTGACTGACAGTCCTTTACTCTAACGCACACACTTTGCTAGGTTCCTGATTAAATATAGAGAACCCTTGCAGTTCGTGTCTTACCTATCTTAAAATTAATTACTCCTGCTAGCATTTTTAAAGCTATTATTGTTGATGTTTTTGATGGTTGATATTGACTGTCAATTTGACAAGATCTAGAATCCTTCATGAGACTTTTTTTCTCCTCATAACAGTGAGGGATCTCTAGACTAGAGATGTCTCTGGTCATACTAAAAGGCTGTTCTCAGTTACACTGAGGCAGAAGACCTATTCTGAGGTTTGGTGGCTCCTCCCAGCTGCAGCAACCCTGATGTAGAAGGACATTTCTGGTGAGTTCATCGATCCTGTTGATGCTTCTGCTGCTATCTTTGGCTAACACTTTCTTTGGCCTGCCAATATGGACTAAAGACTAGTGGCTCTTCAGGAATCCTCTAGGCCTTTAGCACCAGATTGGAACTGATGAGGCACCCAGTCTTGTGCAGTGGGAAGCTTCAGTTTTTCAGCCTCTCCAGTGCAAAAAGATCCATTGCTGGATTCCCAGATGGTATCCTGTAAGCCAATTTAAAAATCCCATCCATCCATCCATCCATCCATCCATCCATCCATCCATCCGTACATGTACATGTAAAGAAACACAAAAATGTGCCAGATAAATGCTTGATCCTGCCTATTGATTTCTCTGTGGGGTATATTAAGAAAATTGAATTTTCAGTGTTTAAAGCTTGATGAATTAAAGGGTATCTGTTACTGACAAGGCAAAAACCATATTTTTATTTGGGTAAATTGACAATGGGAACTAAAATTGAAGCTTATTTTTAGAAGACAGTAGCGACTGAGATAAAGGAGAATATTGTCACAACAACACATACATAATGATACCTCTCTGGTATGTGACTTAGGTTTCTTTAGGTTTTTATCCAGGTACATGGCAGTCAGACTGTATTCTAGCAGAGGGGAAACTATTTGGGGGACCACCAGGAGAAGGAGGGGAGACAAGTGAGGGTGATGGGAGAGGTAAACATAAACAAAGTATAATACACATGTAGGAGGATGCTGTAATGAACCCAATATCCCAGATTGGTCTCCGCCTCCTCCAGTAACCAAGGATAGCCTACACTTTTAATCCCATGCCCAAGCCTCCACCTCTAAGAGCTGTAGTATAGGCAAACTCCAGCACATCTAATTTGATGGTGTTGGAGAAAGAATGCAGGACTTCACACTCCTTTAACAAAGCACTCTAGCAACAAAGCAACATCCAAAATCTACTGAAACCCATTATTTGCATGCTAACTAAAAAGATAATGAAAAATAATCATAACAATAAAAAGTAGAACATAGGAAAAGAAAAATGTAACTTGTCCAATATAAATGCACACTTACCACCTTTCTCTTTGGCAATGATTATTTATAATTTATACCAGAGAAAAAGAAAGAAAAAGCCATGAAAAATTTGTATCTGGGAGTGAAATTTGAGCAGTATTTTTCCACAGGCCAAATGTCAGTCTTTTCTGAGTCTCTTGAGTGAATAGCAGGTGGAGGTCCTGCAGCTCAGCTGGACTACAGAAGGGGCCAGTGGCCCTGACAGTATAACTCTTGGTGACAGCCTCTCTTAGTTTATCCCATGGATGGCTATATGTCACCATCCTGTAAAGAGTATATATAGCTGACAACAGAGCCATTAGATCATACAGAGACTGGGCATAGCATGTGTGAAACAAGAACACACCACTAAGTTGAGCTGCTTTTCCTCTCTAGTGGGCCCTGGTAGCCATTCAATTTAATCTGTTTGAATTAACCCTTGAGATGACAGAGGAGAGTCACCTGAGTTGTGAGTCTATTTGTTCCAGAACTGACAACAGGGACACGTACATGTGTAGAGTGACAGGGTTTGTCTACTCTTCATGTTTTGGGTATGATGAGGTAGAGGGAAGCAATGGGGTGGAAACAGACAAAGAAAGTGCATGGTCATTCACAGATGAGTGATGTGTTGGTTCTAAGAACCAAGACTGTGTGTCTATTGCTCATTGCTAATGATGAGCACAAGCTGATTGAAACATTTACTAATGCAAATATTAGCATTTAAAATGACCTTGAATTTGTTTGTGAGAAGGTGAGGAAATACCTGATTGGTGATGTGTTCTTGGATTTTCCCTGTAGTCACTGAAAAAGAAAGCAGAAAGAAATTTTGTATGAAACCAGTTATCAAGACAAAATACAGAACTGATGATCCTGCCCTACCCTGGGTCAGATCACTCTAGCCACCACAGGCTCTTTGGACAAGATCTAAATCACAATGGGGACATGTATGGATGCAGCAATAGTGATGACATGCTGTCAAAATCTAAAAAGAACTTGCTAGTCAAGGGAAACCGAAGTTCAGTAGACACTTGCTAGGGATGAAGCCAGCAAGCTGTATTCAACTTGGCAGAGAGACAAAGAGATAAAAAGACTAGAATCTGTTAAAGATTTCTCAGACCATGGCATTCCCAGGAAGTCTTTTCATGACATTGAGCTCACAAGGCTCTAGTTGATCTAAAACTCAAGGTCCTCCTAGTTTAGCCTCCCCTGGGCTGAGGTCACAGGCATTAGCTACCATTCTGGCCAAGAAATGCTCTTTCCAAAGCAACTCTCTGCCTGGGAAATGTTGGAGACCTCTTTCATTAGTAGGGTGTTGCTGGAGATTGAAATCCAAACCAATAGCTCAGTTGATGATACCTTCTTGCTCAGGATGAGAAAAGATCAGAGCAATGGATGAAGGCAACAGAGCAGCATGGGCAATAAGAATGTAAGAACAACACAGTACAGTCATGAAAACAACCCAGGATGACCAGTGTCGCATGTGTCTTAAACAGGAGATAGAACCTTTAGGAATAAGAAATTAATAATCAATGAGTTTCCAGGGAGAAAAATAAAGAAGAAATTTGGTAGCACCAAAATTATTGCTTGTGAACAGCGCTATGGTGAATACTTTATTAAGCACATCTTTTAAAAATAAGCCTTAACTTAAGCAATTGCAGAGTTAGGTAAGACAGAGGTAAGGTAGATCACGCAGGGTGATGATTGTAACCCCAGCATTTGGGAGGATGAAACTGGAGGATTACTGGTTTGGGGTCAGACTGGGTTACAATGTGAAACTCTGTCTCAAAAGCACAATAAAACACATATGAAAAGGAATAGAGAAATTCCTTAAACCCATTATCCAGATTGTACCAGTGATAACATCTTAAAATCAAGAATGTATTTGAATTTTAATCATAGGTACAGTATAAACCTTTTGGATTGGTGTATTTTCTCCAAGTCTAACTCTGCATTTCATTCTCATGACTGTGTGTATTGGCAGTTGCTTCCTTTTGCTTTCTGAGTACTATTTCACAGTGTGGATGTACCCTATTAATTGTGTAGTTTCTAGGTTTGACTACAGACTGTAAAGCTGCTGTAAACATAACACATACGTTTTGAATGAGACATAAATCATTATCTCTCTGGAATAAATACCATGGGACACAAATGTGAGTTGCATGTTCAATTTTTTTATGAAGTTGCTAATCTGTGGGCCATCTATCAGATCAGTTTGCTGGGTAAAGGTGTTTGTCACCAAGCCTGGTGACCTGAATTTAATTCCCTATTCCTTATGCTAGAAGGAGAAAAATTACTCCCATCAATTGTACTTTATGATTGTTGTTGTTGTAATAAAAAGAAAACCTGGAGTCTGTTGTTTTTTTTAAAGATGCAATACTCCCCAGTCAATTAATCATCTAATAATTAGCATACACTGAAATTTTATAGGAATTCAGTACCATTTGAGGCATCATTCAGGGCACAGCAGAGATACAAGGAGCATAGGAAATAGATGGCGTACTGAGAGCGACTATTTGATTAAGCTGTTGCCAAGAAATGCCAGGGGCCAAGCTTGGAGGGTCCAGATAATAAAAAACGATTTTCTTTGTTTCAATATCTCCACTGGACACTCTTGGTAGGTTTTAATGTTGAGATTTCTTTATCAGGTTATATGCAGAGAGCTTAAAGTGGAGGCAACATGCTTTGAGGGAAAGCTATTGAATTCACTTTTAGGACCCCAGAGACAGAAAGAAATGGGTCCTCCCGCAGGGCCTCCAAGTGCAGTTGGTCAATACCTTGCTGTTAGTCCCTGAGTTGTCCCTGAACTTCTGACCTCAAAAGCCATGAGACTGACAAATCTGTGTAGCTGTTTTTTTTAAAGACATCAACATTATAGTACAGCCAACCTCTGGATCTGTGGAGTTTTCTTATTACTGTTTTTCTTATTACTGTTTCTGAGATGATGCATACAGGGACCATTTTCAGTACTAGACATGGAACAAGAACTAGACACGATTGAAGGGTGTGGGAGGAAATATGCAGCCTTTACACAAACACTAAAGTTTACACAGGCAACATAAGCATCCTTCGAGTTTTGCTTTCCTGAGACCAATTCTCCCAAGATAGGAAGAGAGAGGGAGGGTGGACATGTGTGAGTCTGTAGAGGTCAGAAGAGGGTGTTGGATCTACTGGAGCTGGAGTACAGGTGAAGGCGTGATGAGGATGCTGGGAACAGAACTTAGGTTGTCTTGAAGAGCAACAAGTGCTCATGCCCACTGAGATTTCTTCCTAGCCCCTATTAGTATTGATGACAACAGCAGGATGACTGTGATCTGTTACAGCAACAGTAGGAAATCAGCTCCAAGGAATTCCCTGTTTTAATCTGACTACGCTTTAAGGACCAGGGAGAGAAGTAGGTGGCTGCTGTACTCGGCTCTGTGACTTGTCCTGAGTTATGAATTCTCCTCCCTATACATTGTCTCCAGGGAACAACTATAATAAACAGAAATCATTTTTTTAGGTATAAGACTAGGGATAAAATTCTTTGTATGTCTTGTCCAATTTCATAGCATTTACCATTGAAAACCAGTGCTCTATTACACCATTTTTACTGTTTAACACACAGCAATGGCTGGGTTGGATAGAACATCTTGTCTGCCACATACTTGGTCCTTGTTTTGTATGTTTTGTTGAAATGGACTACAAAGCCAGGGGAATAAGACATCTCAAAAAGGTTGCTGCACTGGAGAGCTGATAGAATGCAGAAATAGCAGCCTAAGATCTTTATGTCTTGATTGCATGGTGTCTTTAATAACTGCAGCAGAATGAGCTACCGAAGGAGGCTGTGGATACATTGGCTTGGCCATTGTTGGACATGATGCTGAGACCTTGTTGTCCATTCATAAACTTCAGGTGCTGGTGGCCACGTCACAGAAACAGCAGGTGGCAAGTGACCAGGAAGCAAAGCTCTGATGGGTGAATCTCGAATCTGCAAGCCCCTAGAACCTTGGCCCCAGAAGGTCTCTGGCTATTGCTGTGTCTTTGCATGTTTGCCGCTTCCATTTTTCTCCTCTTAAGCTGTATTGTTAAAAGTGTTGTCCCTGCTCCTGATAAAACAGGGGCTGTAGAGGACAGAAAATAATAACAAGGAAATGCCACTCAGCTAGTTTCTCTTGAGGACCATATACACTGTGGCTTAGGTTAATTATTAAGAAAAACAATTGAGTCCCAGAAGCTACCTTAGCTCAAGTTCTTTTAATTTTAATGTTGAGAGCTGTGTCCTCAGGTTTTGGTGTTTATCATAGCTAAAACAAAGCGTTAAATAATGACTAAAGGTTAGGTTAAGATGCTTTTGATAATGGCTTTGAGGTAGAAAATCTTGGAAAACAATTTAAAGTTTAGAAAGACACATCATTGAGTGAGGAACTCCTTGAGGTCAAGGGACAAGAACAAAGCAGCCCAATTATTATTAGCTGACACACCTTTCTTGCTAGGATGGGTTAGTGATCAAGGGTGATGATTAATTCCTTGTACCCATTTCTGCCCTCAGGTTCCTGCTATAAAAAACTGTTGATGAGTAGGTATGAACCCTGAGAATTTAAAATAGAGCTGACTGATTCATTTCATATATAAAAGTTTAGATTTGTGCTTCTTCTAAGATTCCTTAAGAGATTACCTTTGAGACAAATAAAAAGATAATTGGTCTTTTCTTTGTAACCAAAAATGCAGCCTGCCAGTAAAAGAACTGACCGAGAAACATATTTTGCTTGCTTACACTATGTAATCTATATCAAGATTCTTGGACATGAATGTATGTGGATTCTTGGGAAAAATTGTTATTCACCAGTAATATGTGAAATGTTTAATCATGTAAAGGGCATGGAAAATGTGTTCTTTTTACTTGTATTCATTCACTTAAAAATAGTATATAAGTTTTATATTTCTTTAAAGATTCTACTGGGGTATATAAGCTGAGAGGAAAAAATAAAGTTAGTTAGAAGGAAGACATTAAGAGAGATAAAAGGAATATATCTAGATAGAGGAAAGAAAAGAAATAAAGAACAGACAGAGAACAGAGAAAGACCCTAAGGTTTAGCCCCCTTGCTGCCCCGAGAATATTAAGTTTTACTTCCTTGGATAGAAAAGTCAAGTTGAATGATAGTCCCCCTACTCTGTAGGTCCCTCTCAAATCCTGAACTGTTGGAGGCTGGTCCTCACGGCAGTGGCATTCAGGAATGGAAGTTGTAGCAACATTTCTAAGATATTGCCATCAGTGTTTGTGGGACTGACTTTCCAGAGGTTTAGCATTCTTGAATAACTATATCTTATTCTTGTAAGTGCATTGGATACCTGCTCATTTCTCCTTCTACTGCACATTAGTTGATTAATTACTTCAAACTGACAAAAAACCTTCAAGGGATATTCTTTTTCTGCCTAAACAGTTTCAAACCGTGATTTTTAACCTGTTTAAGATAACAGGCCCCTTTGAGGACCTAAGACCAACTATGAATCTGATCATCTGAAAATGCTGACATAAAGCAACAGCAAACAATTCCTAGACCTTCTGCAGCCAGGCAAAGATCTGCAAGGATTTGCAGTTTTAAGTTTATTTCGTATGGTAGGTCACCACATGTGAAAGAATGTCCCAGATACCAGATTTTTGTTAACTTCGAGTTCTTTGAAACTTCAGATTCATCACTTGTCAACTGTTTCCTGTAATTTCATAATCTGAAACTATTCATCTCAAGACTCAGTGTACAGTATTTGAATTTTAACATTATTGTGCCTTTACTATGTCAGGGACCTCCTAAATACTCCTATGA